AATAACTTGTTATTATTTAAGTAAAATATCAAGGAGTATAAATTATCGAGGAGTTTAAAAAGTGTGAGGACATGGTTACACAAATGTAGAAAAAATATTAGTTAAAAAAATCTCACGTGAAAATATTGATTCTGTATTATATTCGTACCACACAGCGATTTATTATATATATATAGACAAGATTGCGCGCGAAGGCGCAATTAATTACGAAAATTATTAACACTTGGAAATTCTCGTATGTCAAACAACTACAAGCCATACTAATATTACGACTACAATCCCTCCATTCTAGTAGAGAACTGATACAATAACAAGTAAAAATAAGAAAAGCCAATTGTTAAGAAGGGAAGAGTGTACAGTTATCGTTACAGTTCATTAATATTATTATTATTATTATTATTATTATTATTATTATTATTATTATTATGCAAATATTATACAGTTTACGAAACTTTAGATGTGTACAGTGTACATAATTCTCTTTTCCATGTGTAGAAAGTAGATCTCCGGATTAAACATTTTTATCTACTTTACTAGGGCATAAAATCTAAGATAACTTTAGCAAATCTTGTAGACAAATCAAATCGTTTTAGTCGGATTAACTGTCGGATATATCGAAACGATTAGTGTACCGGACCTAGTTTGGAAACTTAACATATCCATGCAAGGCCTTTGTGTGTATAGAGTTATCTCGCTGTCCAACGCGGAGAATAGGGGCTAATGTTGTATAAATTGTTAAGTAAAAGCGTTAAACAAATCGATGAACAAGTTTACATGATGTTAGTTGATTATAGAGAATATCGATTCTTCCTTTTGTTTCATACGATTATATTGTATAGAGAAGTACAAGTTATATCCTCGAAATGAAACGCAATTGAGTCAATTAATTCTCATACGAAGCGTTAATGTTGCCGGGCGCACTAACGTGTGCTCGGATGTAACATCGTTTATGCGATTGGTCGGTAAAAACATTGTCTATCTCGTCGTTGTAATTGAAGCGGATTTTCATTCTAAGGATTCAATCTTGTGTTCTCTTCTTCACATACACCCACATACATACACACACGCACACACACATACATACATACATACGTTTCCAGATTACAAATTTAATTTACACATTAGGTGATAGCAGAGAGATAATCAAGAAGTTTACACGAGAACACGCTTACGTTATATTGTTTTGTAACTAGGTAGATCCGTTGTGGAATTTTCAGTACAAAAGCCTAAAACGCTGAGAGATAAAATTCCATGACAGGTCGTTTACGTGCGAGTAAGAAGATCAAGTTATTTGGAGAATCTTAGAAAACTGCAATGAACGATAGATCCGTAATGTAGCGTACGTTTTTAGAAGTTCAGTGCAGGCATATGTGGTAATTCTACTTATGAACGGTATTATTTATATTAATTTTATTGTATTAATAATTTAATAACACTTTTATATACTCTTTCGTTGTGTTCACCGAGTAACTATTGTTATCTTGTAGAAAAAAAACCTTAGCATAGACTGTGCCTTAAAATAATGTCGAGGACCCAAAAAATGTTTCTCTTAAATCCAACACAGAGCATTATATTTCATAGATTATTTATTAAAATCAAGAATTAGGTGATGCGCTCTGTAATATACACCCTCTGTGTATTTTAATATTGTACATATGTTTTCTCCAATAAACACATGTGTCCTCTGATGTAATTAATATTCATTTTTTTATACGTATCTGCGTCAGAACGTCTCAAATGCATTTCTACAAATTATTAAGCATTTCACATCGATTATGGAATAATTATGAATACACGTGATATGTATACAAGGATCGTTATTTATATGATATTAATTATTTCCATTCGGAATACTTTAAAGTATATAAATGCAAAAAAAACGATATTCGTTTTGTACAAATAAATATTTTATAGAAGCATTATTTCTTTATGCTGATTGTGTATTTTGTTCACAATAATGATGTGTCGATGCGATTGTCAGATTAATTAAGCGATGCGCGTTAGATACATAATTTAATTAATAATTGCGCGATTATTAATATAACAAATTCAATTGCAGTATCTGTAGTATCGATCGCAGCTATCGAGACGAGACGACGTAAAATCACAGAGAGAGAGAGAGGTGGCGCGCGAGCACGCTAGTGACGTCGACGAGCTCGCATAGGGTTTTTCTGCGGGCAGTGCTGTTCCATCATCCGCAAATCAAATGTTTATAGAATAGTGCGGCGGGCGTGTTCGACGTTTGAAAATTCGAATTCCTCGAGACGACGATCGGCCGCTGCTCGAGGAAACGTGCGCATAATCTGCTCGTCGAACGATGTCCGGCGATGTGCAGCCAAGAAAGCGCAAGGACAAGCGACGCAAAAAAGGTAAAAACGGAGCAGCGAGTACGAGCGCAATTGACATCGCCGCTTTCGTAACACGGATCCCACGGTACGATATTTTTAGCGACACGTTTGTTTTCTTTATTTTTATCCCCGACAATGTTACGCGCTATTACCGCTCTTCCACCGTAACGTTTCTCGCTCTCTCTCTCTCTCTCTCTCTCTCTCCTCTTTATCTTTTTTTCTTTCTTCCCTTTGCGTTTATTCGGGAAATATCATCAATCTGCATATATTTTTCGTTCTTACGATTTTTCTGATTTTCAGGATAATCGCGATATCGTCACGTGTTTTCACGATCACAAGCGTGTGTACCAATCGTCTCAAATGTCTCCGAGCGGGCCACGTCTTCGCGAGATTATAATATTACAAGCGCATAATGCAATTTTACACTCGCTCTCCGGTCCGGTGCCAAAAATATCCGGGCACTACAGCTTGTTCACTAGTCGTGGAGTGTATATGCGACACATATTTCGCCGCAATTTATAAATATTCATTTTCTCTACACAAATTTTCGGTGTGTTTTTTCAATGTGGATTTGATCATGATTTATCGAGGCGACAGACACTCGCGTTCTGCCCAAAATTGCCGCTTCTGACATAAAAAGATGTGTTGATTAACATATCAATGTAACAATGAAAATATATTTGTGATTGCTGTCGCTTTGAACAAAAATTTGTTTCACTGAAAAATTTCTAAAACTCGTGTTATATATATATATATATATAGAACGCTTTATTTTGGGCGGTGACTGTTTTCCGTGTTTCGCTTTGGAATAATATCAGGTGACGTTTATAATATATTCGTTAGCCAATGCAAGATTAGACATTTACCGGTATAATCTTTATTGGATATGTAATTTCGATCGATCTAAGAAAGTTTGGCAAGGCTATTTAAGTCAGAAAATACGGGTTTTAGATGCTCAGGCCAACCCACCTTTTAGCTTTCAAAAATAGATTAAACCGTATTATCCGGTCCAAAAGCATTTCTCGTTAAGTTGCTTATCAATTCTGCACAATTTTCTGTTAGCATTTTTAAAGGATCTTATCCATGCACCGATTTCAAGTACTCAGACAGGTAGAGAATGCCGAAAGAATCGTATCTTGTATGTTTGCGTACTATCTTAAGTACCTCCTATAAATTAGAGTATATGTTATATTTAGTATCACCTATTTTCCGTACCTTTTTAGCAGACGGGGAATACACTATTCAAAGGATACGTGGTGCGAGTATCGGTACGGCATAATTTTTTTCTTAGTCGTACTTCAACTTCCTTAATTTTCTCCTGTGCTTTTCTTTAAATTCCAATAAAATGATCTTTGTCCATTGCGAGGTAAGACGGCAAATCTTGCGCAGTATGACTTAAAGTTTAAGACATTATATCACGTAGCACGTATCCCACGGAGCACAGTTTATCCGAGTGACGTCCTATGGACGTCCTCTGGACGTCTTTAGGACGTCTCTTGGCGATCTATGTTGCATGGGATAATAATATTAATCATCGAATAGTCGAAACAAACTTCCGTGTTCCGATCTCTTGACGTTCATTTACATTTCCGCACGAAATATCAAATATAGCAGGTATGGTTTTAAAAAATGACTTTGTTAACAAACAAAACTATTTAATTCGTTACATCACATTTAGACGATGAGGACACCGGTACTCCACCGCCCACTTTGATCAGCTCGGCCGACACTTCTACGGAAAATGTCTCTATTCATATCTATAAAGAAAGCAGCACAGGCGGACATTGGTGCGCGCGTATCATATTCTTTGTTTTACTAGCCGTTCTCGTTGGGCTGATTGGTATAATAATCATCGAACACAGAGGGACTACAGACGGTGAGTCACGGGATAAAATTTTTTAATCGTAAGGCACTACCGTTTGTTAAGGAACTTAGATGAAGAAGAAAAGATTTATGCTTGATATTCCTGGAAAAAAATTATTATATATGATTATATATAATTATATAAAATCATATATGAATTTGCCCATATATGTGGTTATATATATGATTGTATGTCTATACGAAAAAAAATGATATTATATCATTTAATTAAATCGATATCATGTGCTGACGGAAGCACAAGTAGCCAGAAGCATTTATCGCGATTATGTTTGTATATAATTTGTAAACAACGGTATTTTTTTGTTGTAGACATATATGGTTACATATAGTCATATACGGGCAAATTTCATATATGATTTTTTTCTTCCCGGAATTGTGTCTGAATAATTCTTTTTTACATTTTAAGTCGACACGCCAGTAGCTTCGTCACGCTGGGCAAGTATATTTGAAGGCTGGGTAGATGATTCGCTACCTAGTCATGGCGACGAGTCGCATGGTCGAGACGAAACGGCGGAAACAAGTGAGGAAGCATTAGAAGAAGAGGAGGGGGAGGAGGAAAAAGAGGAACATGACGAGGAAGAATCTGCAGAAGCTGAGAGGGAAAAAGAAAGAGAAGGAAGTATAGAAGAAGACGCTGAAGAAGATGAAGGAATTGGCGAAGAAGAAGAAGAAGTAGAACAGGAAGAAGAGACTGAGGAAGGAGATAGAACAGAAGTAGGAGAAGAAGAAGAAGAGGAAGGAGACGAAGAGGAAGGAAATGAGCAAGAAGGAGACGAACAAGAAGAAGAGGAAGAGGACAATGTGGGATCTGAAGAGGCGGTAGACGGTACGTGAAATGTAAACTTACGGATATCTTTTTTTCACGATAATTGTTTCTTCTCCTTGTTTTTAGAGGTTGATAGAAAAGAGGATGATCAAGAGGAAGACGAAGGTATTGACGAAGGCGAAGCCGACGAAGAAGGGGACGATGACGAACAAGAATTCGATGATAATAGTATACTGGAAGAGGTTGAGAATACAAATGAGGACGATGATGGAGATGAAGGCAATGATACACCGGACAATTTCGATGCGGAATTTGATGCTAGTGCTGAAGAAGCTGACGACAGTTTGGAGGAGAAGGATAACGATGTGTCTGAGGAATTCGCGGGTATACCCGGTGTTAATGACATTGACGATAATAGTGACGAGCCTCTGGAGGAGGTACGTTTTGTGTTATCTTTATTACTTTAGGTACGTCTGTCGTGTTCGTAATAAAGAATTGATGCTTTATGCTCTTTTATCAGATAGAAAGTGAAGAATCAGAAGAGGATGTAAATGACGAAGACAGTGTGGAGGAAGAGGAAGAGATCGAAGAGGAATCTGCCAGCGGTGAGTGTAACTGTAACTTGAAAGAGAGAGACAACGAACGCACTAAAAAAGTGCTTTTGAACGATTACGCACGATAAACTATTGACGTGATCCTCCATGCTCTCACTTCGTTTCTTTAACTCTCCGATGCCAGCACCGCAATTTCCAGCTGGCGGACAAAAGTGTCGCTGCTATGTATTAATTATTAGTACTCTTTTCTGTAGTAAAGAGGTGACGCATTATCAGATATAACGTATGGTGGTTGCAGTGGCTGTGAAGTTCGGGGTCGGTGTTGCGCTTGTCGTTGCTGCACATTTCGTTCTCGTTAGACGGTGGAACAATGGTAAATTTCACTATTACATTACACATTACCTCATTTCGACACGTTTCTTACTGGTTAGGATTATTTAAGCGCATCCCAGATGTGAAGTAGGTTTCAGATATAATATTATCACATACACATTCTCTGTAATTACAAAGTCAAATCAAAGTTTCACAGGTAAGTATTTTTTTATACAGATGAATTTATCATAAGTAAGTCTCAGCGTTCTTAGCGTCTTAGCATTTAATAATTGATTATGTGTATATGTGTGTATATATATTTCCGTATATTTTTATTCGATATTTCAACATAAAAATACTATAATTTGATTTTTCAGTTGATGTTTCTCCGCGGGATACAACTGACACGCCTGACCTTTTGAGACGCAATACAATAGTTCCACCTCCTCACATTAAACAAGTAATCAAAGCAGCTGAGAATATTGAAAGTAAAGTACGTGCGCAAGCGCAAGCAGAAACTTACGAAGACTTAAGGTCCAAGTACAAGAATTTGAAAGAAGAAAATATTCTAAGCGACATCGAAAAACTATACCCGCAAAGTGGAGCAAAAGAAAAAGATACACGATCAACTCAAGGCAGAGCCGAAGAAGGTGTGATTAATAAAATCTTGTCACTTTATCCCAACATTTTCTTATATCTTCCATTGATAAACTCCATGTTTCGCAAATATATTCACTTATATTTCTCAATTATAGAAATTAGTACAAATCGGGGCCAATCTAAAGTAATATCATCTGAGGAAGAGGGGGAAGAAGAAGATTACGAAGGCGAGGAATTAGAAACATCAGAAGGCGAGCGTGTTTCTGGCGCAGAAGAGTACGAGGAAGAACAGGCAGAAGAAGAGGAGGAGGAAGAGGAGGAGGAGGAAGACGAGGAAATCGAAAATGTTGACGATTCGGAGTTAATAGCTAAGCTTGAGGCAAAGTATGGAAAATTACCTACTCCTCAAGATAGCGAAGCTGAAGAAGAAGAACAAGAGGAAGAAGAGGAGGAGGAGGAGGAAGAAGAAGAAGAAGAAGAGGAGAATGATGAATTGCCAGAATGGAAACGTAAATAAAAAATGATTAAGTAATATATATTTTGAATGCATATATATTTAGGAATAGAACTTCCAGTATTCTTTCTTATTTTAATGACTAATAATATATGGTTTTTGTCTATACTTATTTAAGTAATAGGTGTTTATATGTACTATAATTCCACAAAATATTTTGTTATCCCAATTAGATGAAAAACCTCACGATCTCATGTGCATATCTCGCAAGTTTTTCGAGACATATGGATGTTGTGCAAACTTTAACTTTCCGCTAATTAGTTATAAGCTAATCAAAATTTGGCAGATATGAGATAGTCAAAATGAGCATGGAGGATTATTGTATTAATCAAAGCAATCTTACGATAGATTAAGGATAATTTTTTTATTTTTGACTAATTAAAAAGATTTATATATAATACGAAAGAATTTAACAGAACTATTTGTACAAGATGATAAATTTAAATATAATTTTGTGTAATTTTTGCAAAATTATTACTTTGTAAACAGGTAGTAAAACGCCAAAGGACTCCTACGTTGAATCTCAAACGAGAAGACCTCAGCAACCAACAGGAATAAAAAGTAAAGAAGCAGATACTAATCGAGCCAAAAGTGGAGGGAGAGCTCATAATTTTAACAACGTATCAAATACTGATGATGTAAACGTTTATGAAGAAAATGATTCTACGATACTTCAGGTCGAAGAATTTCTCGATTAGGATATATGCGTTCCTGTAAGATAATTTTGATATAAATTTATTTGTGTTTTCTCAAGCAAAGAGAAACTGTTTTGTCTACAAACGATCCTACGTTTGTATCGTACATTATTAATACAATTGTGTGATTTGCAGTTTTCAAATACTAGAATATCAGTCAATTTTATGTACATAAGAAAATTATAATCTTCATTCCCTTCCTACTCTTCACACCTATAATTTATTATCTAATTGATTTTACTTTTGTTTGTTGTACATAAGAATGTCTCCATTTGAAATGTTTTAACTTTGTTAAGGTTTAACTACTGATATATGTATATATATATATATATATATCTTATATAACTTTTATACATGTTATATATATATAACATGTATAAAAATTATATAACAAAGACATTAGATTTTTATGAAAGTGACTGATATAATACATATATATATTAAAATTAAATTAATTTGAAGAAAAAGAGAGATGTCTTTTTTGTCAGGCATATCGTAACTGTTTAAAAATCAATAAATTACGGAAATACAGCAAAGAAAATTAATATTCCCCTCACCTTTTCGGAAGGTTAACGCAAAAGTAAAACAACGCAGATTTTTCTCATGTATACAAAGTGATTTATTTGAAATGTTTACGATGCAAGAAAATAATAATCTTGTTACATATACAAGTAACGTTATTTCACTCAGACCTCAAGTACTTACAGAATATTTAACAAATATATGACATTCTTCTCATGTGAATTCAAAGAGAGAAAATTATTCTATTTTTATATTTTCGATCGTCGAAGTATGTATATTCTTCTGTTGAGTTTGGTCTTTGAACGAGCATATATTTGGGAGATATTGAACGAGCGCGTGCAATAAAATAAATTTCAGCCCACGGTAAAATATTTTGCATTTAACGCTTAAGCACTCATGAAAGAGTATATAATATATACATAACGCATTAGATATTTGTAATTAAAATATTTAATGATACAATGGAATCAATTTCTTTCTTTTTTATATATAAAAAAATATATATTAAATAAAAGAAAACTCGCTCGGATGAAATTGAACGGAATTCATTCACGCTGAGTACTTAAGAGTTAAAGTTTCGCGAAAAACCGTTTCAAGAATTATCCTGTCACGCAGCACAAAACATGATGCGAAATCTTTTACAGTGTAAAAACAAGATTTTTATTTAAAAATAATCAAGTGTCGAAGAATTCTATTAATTACACTTTTTTTTCGGGCGGTATAGACAAAACGTAGTTGCATAGAGACAAAATCATGGTAGGATTAATCGCGTCTGTTCAGTGTGTCCAACCAAAAGCCTACCTCATCAATATCTACGAACGTATAGTGAGGTAATAAATTGTTGTACACTCTAAAAAATAGAGTATCCGAATTTCCCTGTGAAGAAGATAATTCTTTACAGCGGCGTAGTATCGTAGTTTAATATTTATGCTTGTGTCTGTGCTTACGCGGGGAAGGAGAAGGCGGACTACAAGCTCTATGTTTAGAGGAAGAAGTACGCGGAGGCGGCGGTGGCGACAGAGTCGGTGACCTGCGTCTTTTCCTATCGCAACGTTCGCTAGTGGGAGATCTACGTGAAGATCCTCTGCACGAGGAGAAGGAAGGCGATGGTGTACGTCGGATACGAGGTGGCGATGGCGTGACTGGCACGCGTTTCTTATACGGTGATCTGGATCTGCGTTTGCAGCGCGGTGATCTGCTGCGAGACCTGAAAATTATAATTACATTATGTTGAAATTGCACCTCTCTCTCTCTCTCTCTCTCTCTCTCTCTCTCTCTCTTTCTAAAATAGAGATTGCAACTATATTAAAGCTTTTCAAGCTATAAATTCCCAGGTTAGATACTATCAATTTAAGATACTTAATATTATTATCAAATACTATTGTGACGTAAAGTACGAAAAAGAGAGGAAGAGAAAAGAAGAAACGAATGCGCATAAAACTCGGAAACTGATGTTTACCTGTATCTCGCATTCTTTATCGATGGACTCGTCGATCGTCTCCGATCTCTGTAATGACTAGGGGACTCCGGCGTCGTGCTCCGTTTCTTCTCCCTTCGTTTATCATCTTCACGTTCTTCGCTCTTCAAATCTTTCATTTCTCTCTCGCTCTAACAGTTTTTTTTTTCTTTCATGTTTTATAACGATATAATACTATCGGGATAAATATAAATTGCGCGTGCATTAAAATTACCTTTCTTATGAGTTTCTTTCTATAGTGTTCCACTTGTCCTTGTATCGTCATACCAGACTTTAACGTTCTTCTACCGCTTTCTAGCTCGTCTTGATACTGCATAATTTTCACTTCGATCTCGCGCAATCTGTTTCGTCTTTCTTCATTATAGTCTCTGCCGCTGTTAAAATAATTTTTTGTGCAAACATACTCTAATTTTTCTCTATAGATTAATATAAGCTATAAAGCGATTTTGCCACTTGCGATAAGAACTCTTTTACCTGGAATCCATACTAGTATCCTGGGAATTGGAATCTTCATTTTGCCCTAACTCTTCCCATTTACTGGTGGTCATCGCCTGTGCTTCCACCTAGTAACAAAATCAATGTTGAAAATCGGTTTCTTGGTGGAAAGATATCTATACGTTATTTGACGGGAGTATTTTGAAACCTGATCAGGATCGACGGTTTCCCATCGCGAAGGGACAAATCCAGCCGGCATCGATGATTTCTTATCATCGTCTTTATTTCGCGCATTCGTGCTATCGTCATCATCCATTGGCACTCCGTCGATGTCTTCATCCACTGTGGCAAATAATAAATAAATATAAAGATTCATTAGCGTATAATAATAATAATAATATAGGTTTTATTTTAATTGCACCAGGTAAATATCTCGAAATGCATGAAAAATACGGAAAAACGTTTCAGGCAAAAGTTGTAGTGTTTGAAGGGGGACATAAGTTGATAACCTTTGTTGCATAGTTAATAATTCAAGATTATTCAAAGTCAGTTTCATTTTTTTGGAGTCGGTTTCTTTTTTTACATAAATCGATTTCTCTGTTCATTCTGCGTATAAAAGTTTAGGGTTGGTTCATCGAAAGATGAATATTTCTCGAGATATTTTACTCGGATATTTTTCTATATAAGATGTGAAATATCTCGTAAGATATTCACTTTTCGATGACATCACTTTAACACTTTTGTACGCATAATGACAGATGAAATCGATCGCTGTGAGCAAACGTAGAGAAACCTTGAAAAAAAATTCATTACATTTTACAGATGCATTGACGCACCAATGTGCAATGATTAACACATTAAATGCCACGCGGACCGGCACTAGACTTTCCGTTTACGTCACGTCGGCCCCTACGGACCGGCGCTCAACTTTTTGTTTAGGCTAACCCGTCGCGCAGGTCCCTGCGTACCGAAAATGAACATTTCGTTTAACGACGTCAGTCCTTGACGAATTTAAAGTAATAAGCGGAGAATATAATACTTCATCTAGAAGTAATATAATTTATTAAAACAATTTCAACAAAGACGGAGTTTTCCTTTACAGGTATTACAAAAAGTTACAACTTTGTATCAATTTCTTATTTTGTCAGCATTTTTAATTTTATGAGCAACAAAAACTTTTTCAAATATTTTCTAGATCTGCTCTGGAAAACGAAATTGTATTGTGTCTTAAGTGTTATTGGCGATTAGTTAGTAGTTTCGGTCTTTGTTCCTCGTTATCTTTTGTTTACACTTTAGCTCACACACCGCGCGTGAGTCTCTCCAATTGCCTGGATGGTATTGTGTGGCGTAAACGGAAAGTGAAACAAAATAGGCTTGGCACTGAACATGTTAATATCAACAATATCGAAGTCTCTCACATTATTATATACAGAAACGGGATGATACTCGTGATCGTTGCGAGCGTTAAGTGAAACCTGCCCATAGTAGATGAAGTACAAAGCGTTGGAACATTTTAATCCGTCCACATTATTGGAAGGTTGAAGTGATATGTATAATTACTCCTCCCCCCTCACATATTTATTACATATTTATACTATATCACACATTTATTTCGAAAGTACTCACTGGGCACTCCATCGATATCATCGTAGTTCGAAGTCGTTTGCGGTGTGAGACCATGTTTCATAGCACCCTTTAACAAGGCGGCACCATCGAGCGGTACTCCATCCAAATCTTCACCACCGTCCCCGTCAACATCCGACAATGGCGCACCATCAATATCTTCGTCATTTTCCGGCTCAGGTTCGTCCATCTTAAAGAAGAAAAAAGATCGCAGATACAGTGAACCATCCATACACGGGATACCGTACTTGTAAACGTTTGATTTACCAGAACAAGTCCCAGGAAAGTATTCTGTAATTTAACTAAGAAATCTCTCGGATACACTGCCCAATCTTCCCATGCTCTGAACATTCGCATAACGCGAGCTTTGAATCCCTCCGCCTTCAGTCTACTGTCAAACTGTTTATACGCCTGGTGGACTTCGTTAAAGATATCTAAAAGACGTGCCTCAAATCTGCGAAACAAGAGAAAGTACATACGAAATATTATAATTACATATATATAATTATAAATATTGTGTTGTATTTTCTATTACGGTTAGTTTCATCGAATATATCATACTTACGCCTTCCTATAAATAGTGGCATTGGTCACTTTAACTCCACAGTTATGCAGTATATCAGATATCAAGTACAATCTTGCAATTTTCTTATTCACTGGAGTTTGCAGTATTGATAGTGACTCTGAAATACAATCACAAATCTCCTCTGCCGCTTCTGCATGTTCTATACAAAATACCATCGCTTCTGCAACTTTTATTCGTTCAGGTGATATGTTTCGCAATAAATCTTCTAAACGATCTCGCTGACTATGAAGAAATAGAACAGATTTAAAAATGTTATCACATAAGTAATGTCTTATTACGCAAGACTTGTAACACTTCATTAGTAATTAGATTCAAATATATAAATAATGTGCACTATAATATCAGAGGTACCCATAAGTAATGTCGTTTTTTTCAGATTGAATAAACATTGCCACCTTGTTCGTGGACGTGATTTATTATTACATTGGCTTTATATTTATTAAATTTATTGACATTTAGTATGCTTGTTGTGAAATTTTGAAAGAATTTGAGTGTATCGTTAAAAATAGAAGGCCAAAGTGTGGATAAAGCGAGGTCTACAATGAGAATTTAAGTTTTAAGAAATAACCTTAAAGCATCTATTGTAGATTAGAACTAAGGTGCACATTAGACGTTTGATGCTTTACGAGTTTCGAAAGAGTAACAATGCCATCAGTGCCACAAATGCCATTAATTCTGTTTATCTATATATTCTATGCTTTGGATATCAGAACACGTGTTGTTTCAAAAAATTAAAAAACAGTGATTTCGATCTTTCTGACGGAAAGCCAAAATCTGGAAGACCTATTGAATTTGACAAGAATCTAGTTGGCTGAAATTGAAGTTG